AAAAAAAAAAAAAAAAAAAAAAAAAAAAAAAAAAAAAAAAAAAAAAAAAAAAAATCATCAAACTAAACTAAACTAAACGATCCTGTTTCCTAAGAAGCTAAAGAAGATTCCACTGCAAAAATATCATCTAACGTACTCTAGCACAAAGCTCCAAAGCTTGCGGCTGAAAGACAACGAAAGGAAGCACCTACACAGAATATTACATAGCATATGTCAAAAAAAGTATAAAGAAATATTGATTGAACTTCAGAAAACAATAGAAAATAGTGTTAAAATATGGAGAATGAACTTACAGTTAACCGTTGATGAAGAATCTTGAGGATCTGTTCCTTGGAATAAGCCCTATAAGTTATGACCGGAGGTTTGCCTAGGAAAGCAATAGGCAAGATCAACAATTAGTATTATGTGAAATGCAGTTAACTACTATATATTTGTTAAATATGGATCAATACTATAGGACCATAAGCTAAACTGCACATATCCTTGCAACTCACAATTCAATGCCTGAAGTCTTGGAAGAAAACGATCTGCCAAGTCAATAGCATTTGCAATTCCTACAAAATACGTTGGATATCAATCTACTGTGTTAATTTGTAATCCATGAAAGAAGAGCAATGAGAGATTCTAAGTATCACTGTCATAGGGATACCTATCAAAATGCATCTTGAAAATGGGAAAGTTGTGAGCATGAACAGATTATGTAGCACTGCCTTATCCTTTGTAATTAAATAATCCAATTCGTCGGCAATTATTAACCTGATTTAAGAAAAATGGCGTGAGAAAATGTTGAGATGAAATTGAAATTGCAACAAGTAAGTTTTTACATCATCTTCGTGCAAGATGACTCTGCCTTTTGGGAGTACAAGCTTTGAAGATGTTGCAAGGGTGTTAAAGAGCCATTCCTTTTCTTTTGCGGTTGGGCTTCCCCCATTATCTACCAAAAACAATCAGCGGATAAGCATATGAAACACTAAAAGGGACAAATATTTTAAGTTTTTTACATCCATACCTTAGTGAAAATGTCCGACGTCTTAGCTAACGAAGTGCAGTTTATAGACAAAATGTCTGGCAGCTGAAGACCTGACTGGTAGCATGAAGAATATTTGAATGTGTGATGAATTGAATCTTCAACAAGCAAACATATTAGCTTAAAATTGAACAGAATACTGCCATATATCTCATGAAGGGACTTCACCTAACAGGTAAGAAAGCCTACCTCTTTCACCCAATCAGCCAACTGCTCTTTCACTTTTTCCATGGACAAGGATTTTCCAGTTCCTGGACACCCGCAAACATACAAACTACCAGCTTTTTCTTGCTCCACACAAGCCTTACAGAAATTTAAGATTCTGCTCTGTTCATCCTCGCGGCACATGATTGTAGTTGGAGCGGTCGATACGTGCAATGCTTCCTTTGCTGTTTTTATATGTTGGGTATCTAACAAATTGGAAAACAATATATGAAAACCTGCTTGAAGATCAGGACAAAGATAATTGCGTACTGCAACTTCATGCTACCAGCACAAGCTAATCCTCACCTTTAGGATTCCAATCTGGTTTGACACTGGGGTTCTTGAACAAGCATTTTATCGGCGACATATGTAATTTAGGAAAGCCATCAATAAACGTTTTCCCATCGCTCTGCATATGGTCAAAAGAAACCTGTATTATTGCATTTGCAAGATATCTCCAATTGGTGCAACATTTGATCACATACGAGGCTAAGAAATGATGCATTCATTGCAGAAGATCTTCAATTAATTTGTGATATCTAACTAGACTAAGAAACTTCAAAATCTTAGAATTAATTTACTCATCATCATATCCGATCAAAGAATTATCAGTAACCTGAAGAGAGTGACAAAATGCATACAAAAAATGGCTGTTCAGAATCGATAATGTCAAACTTACATGTGGAACGCTCTTTGGACTCGAATTGAGACACCGTCGAGGCGATTTCCAATTCATCGGCTCAGAGACAGGGCTTTGTTGTCTCTGCGCATCACCGGATCTCAGTTTCCGCTTGGGAGGAGTTTTCTCCATAGCAGATGCATCAGTCACTCTCGCAACCATGACATCATCCAATTTCGTTCCATTCTCAATCTTACAGTGACTTCCTCGAGTAATGGCTGGCATTCTTTCGATCTTCGACAGATATGGATGGGTATGGAGATCGATCTAGGGTTTGTATGTTCTTCGATTGGGAAGATTCTCTGAGAGAAGAAAGTAGTTGTGTTTTTAGCGGGAAACTGAGAGGTGTGCAGTGATTTTCCCGCTGGTAAAGAGTTTTAAACGGCTTTGTAGTAACTCATTGCCGGTTAGCCTATTTCGGACCTTGTGGTTCTTGGGCCCAGCGTCCAAAAGATCCGGCCCATCAAAATGTTCATTTCCTGGCCTCATTTATATCTATTTAAAATAAAATAGATATAAATAATAATTAAAGTTTTAATATTATGGGAACAAAAAAAAAAAAAAAAAAAAAACAAGCGCTTGCAATGCCCCACCCTCTCAGCGATGGCAACTCCAAATTGACGAAAATGACCCAATCCCTTAACTCAGATATTTTTGTTATATATTTCTTGGACCCAAATACCCTTTATTCATTTATTTGTTTTTTTTATTTTGTAAAAAAAATAAAAATAAAAAAGGGTCGTAATTCATATCTCATGAGACTGGTGGCGATATGTAGTAGGCCAAAACGAACAATATCTACTAGCAGTTGACTTTGACTGTCACGAATTGTATCAGAAGGGGTTCTGGGTGGTGTGGCAGCTAGGACGTTGGGTCCGGGGTGAATTGTGAGCTCAACATTTTGTATAAGGGTGTGGAAACCTCTTCCTGGGGTAGAATGGGAGATCCCGATACAAGGGTGTATGATTCTCCTTAAAATCACGAGACTAATGATGATACGTAATAGGTCAAAATAGACACTATTTACTAGCGGTGGACTTGAGTTGTCACAAGTGGTAACAGAACCATGTCCTGGGTTGTATAGCAGTAGAGACACTGGAACTTCAAGGGGAGTAGATTATGAGATATCACATCAGTAAGAAAATTGGAACGAAACACATTCCTTATAGAAGGTTTTCTTCTACCACGGAAGACTTGAGCTGACAATATTGATACGGGAGCGCGTAAACGCTAATTATCTTAAATATTTTAAAAATAATTATCGAAAAAAAAAAATGGTTTATGTGGAGAAAATTAGGAGGGGGAGAAGGAAATGGAATGGATGAGGAGATAAGGAGATTGGCGTGGCATAGGCGTCGGAGAGTCCCTGTCGGATTAGAGGGCCATGTGGGTGTGTTCATAATTGCCTGCTCTTTAAGCCCCCTTCGAGCTTCCCTCTTTCCCTTTGTCCGTTGCTCGCGACGCCTCCTCCCATCAATTATCCACCATTTCCTCTCTATCCCTTACCCCTTTTCCCTTCTCTCTCCTGTCCCTGTCTTCCCTTTTCGTCCCCTCTCTCCCCCTCACTATCCACTAAGCTTTAGAGCCGTTCACAAGTTGAATTAGGCTCCGTTATTATTATTTTTTTTAATAAAATTTTAATTAATAAATATAATTAATTCAACCATAAAATTTTATTAGATTAAATCATATTTATTGACCTATTTAATTTTAACCGAAGTAAGAAGATTAATATAATATTTATTTTTTTCAAATATTAAATTACAATTTTAATATATATTTTAGATGTATTTTTAAAAATGGTTGAAGAATAAATAATTACAAAATTAAATAAAAATATATGCAGATTCTCAGGCTCTTCTATTGGTAATAATAGAAAGAAGCAAAAGAACATAACTATACGCCAGAAACATTAGCACCTCTTAGTAATACCCGTTATCAATAAGGTTGAAGGTATTTATTGTTGGATAATGAAAGTCCCACATCGACTAATTTAGGAAATGATCATGGGTTTATAAGTGAGGAAGACCCAAAACAAAACCATGAGCTTATGCTGACAATATCATACCATTGTGGAGAGTCTGTTGGTCTAACATTTGCAATCTAGAATAGATAATTTATTTTAATAAAAATAAAAAGTAAAATGGCAAGAATAGTCAATAAAGTGTTTTTTTTAAAAAAAACAATAATAACAATAAAAAAGTTGTTTTTGGCGTTTAATTCAATGGAATTTCACTTGCTCGAATCAAAAGAAGGCATACAATTTGGACTTTTCCCATTGCATTTTTAGGCTTTTATTTATTTATTTATTTATTCATTATAAGATTTATAGCGATAATCTCGGCACCGCTATGCCATTCGCGATGGATACGGCGAGCCAGTGGTGCCCGTGTGCCCGTGTCCTCCAAAAGCAACATATACCAAAAGACGTGCCACCCAATGCTCCCCACTCCCACGTTAAAAAGGCTCTATGTTCTTAATTTTAGGTTAATTAAATAAAAATATCTTTCAAAATTACAATAATATCTTTTAATTTAAAAAAAATTAAATAATTTAGTTAATTCACCAAATTTAAATAAATCGAGGAATTAAATTTGTTATTTATGGAAGATTTATAGATGATTTTTTGACAATTTAAAATATAATAGGATTTTAATTAATTTTTAAATTGCGCAAAAAAAAAGATATTTCTTTGGATAAAATTTTAATTAATTAATTAATTAAAAATGGACATAAAAAGTTTAAAAGTTTGACTCTAGAAACTTCGGACACTGGAGCAATAGTTGTAATTTGACGCGAAAGTGACATGTTCGTATACGACGCAGTACACCTCATATTTACGATATTGCCACTTAGAAAATAAAATAACCAAGTGTCTCACCTTTTAAAAAAATTATTATTTAACGAAATAAAATAAAACTGACACGTGTGTGGAAAGTAGGCAAGAAAGTCGGTGGTGTCACGATTTTACAGAGCCGCGATATTAATGTAGGGGTACACGTGGCACGTTCGGAGCGGCCACATCGGATCCAGATCACCCGTGAAAAATGCCGCTTTGGGCTGACAAATAGCGATGGCCACTGACCCGAACCGACCGTTTATAAGCAAGCTTCTATTATGGGTTCTTTCCCGAAGAACTGACCGGTTACCGATTCTGCCTGTCCTTCCCTCTCTCTCCACTGTAAAAGTCCCGCTGTTCAAGTCGTCTTGTAGCGTGAGATTTTTTTCCCCCACATTTCCAATTTAGAAAGCGCACTGGAGGAGTTCTTTCCTGTTGTTTTCTGCGCGTATATATAAAGATATATCTTCATATATCTCTTCGTAACTCATAAAGGTTGAAGCTACGGCCCTGCTTCGTTTCGTGATTATCCGCCGGGAAAATTCGCTGCCGTTCGGTTTAGGTTCGTCGATTTCTGTTTTTCTACGATTTCGCGTTATTTTCTCGAGTGTTTGATTCGATTTTTGAGATAAATGAGTAACTGTGCATGAGTTTTTTGGATTTTCTTCGAAGAGTTGTTAGGATGGAGAAGCAGTATTTGTATGAGTTGAATTTGTTCTGATATTTTGTTTTCTTTCCATTTTTTCGTTGTTTTAGGTAAAGGTGAAGATTCTGTGGTTTTGTTAAAGTTTTAAACGGCCATTCGCTTGGATTGAGGGATTTCACGGAAGAATTTCTCTCTGTTTTGTGGATTTTTATATGCATCTGATGATTTGAATTCATCTTGCTGTTGAACTTTCGGCTGTTCTTCGTTTGGGAAATTGGAATGGGAGTGAAGGTAGCTATGACATGTTTACAATGGTCGAAGCCTATTGTTCATCATTCTTCTTGTTATTCTCCATCCCTAGCCTCCGCTCCTTCGTCGACGCGGCGAAACCGTAGCGATGGAGGAGCTCTGACGGGGCGGTGTGCGTATACGCTTGGTCGACCAGGTCTATTAGGAATCCAGTTCGCGAAGTTTCAACGGTCGCGCTATTGCGGCAATATTAAGCCAAGAATTCGGACCATCACAAGAGCGTGTAGTTCCAATATGGTGGACGGTTTCTCAGACGAAGAGTTCTCCAAGCAGATTCAAGATTTGGCGATTAGGTTTCAAATGTCCGCTGAGAACAGCATCCATACCAACGCCGAGAGTTCGGGTTCCGATTCCAGTGTTGATCATGAATTTAACACTGTCGAATGTTCTGTACAAAATCAGATCCAAATCACACCGCCTCAACTCGTTACAACAGAATCTCCATGGCCAGAAATCCACCAAGAACCTGCGGAATGGGCGCAAGAAAGTGAAATAATAATTCCAGACGATATCGAGCGGAAAGCGAATTGCGTTGATCTTCCTTTATCTCTTCGAATGTTAAAGAGGAAAGTGCAATGGCGCCAAGGCATCAGCGAAGCTAGAGAATCCGCTTATTGTTCAGTAAAGAAGGCATTCTCCTCCATGGTTTTCATGATTAGTGAGCTTCACAGTTATTCGTTGAAATTGAGAGAGATCCTCTTTTACGAAGATTTACAAGGCATTCTGAATCGAGTTGAAAAAGAGATGCACGCTTCGTTTGTATGGCTATTTCAGCAAGTTTTCTCACACACTCCAACTCTAATGGTGTATGTGATGATTCTGTTAGCGAATTTTACAGTCCACTCAATGGGGAATAATTCCGCAATTGCGGCTTCCTCATCACCTACCCCTTCTCTAACGCAGATGGTCGAGGAAGTTGTTCAAATCGAGAATCAAAAGCCAGAGAGATTGGATTCCTCTACAATCAAGACGTTCTCAGTGTCTGGGAAAACAGCTTCCGTTAGCGGCGGAAATGGAGGCGGCGGCGGAAAGGTCAGACCGATTGCCAGTGGCACAGACGGCGATGGATTCAATTCATCAGACAATTATCCCACCGTCATGCCGGACGGTACTTCCCAAATGTCCTCAATAGGATCTTCAGCAGAAGAAGAGTTGTCGATATCAGGGATCAGAGAAGAAGAGACTTCTCTGTGGAATTCAATTCTCAAAGAAGCTTCACAAATGAGAAATGAAGAAATCGACGAAAACGCCATAAGGAGATTCGTATCGCCGGTGATAGCGAACATCGAATCGGACACCTACACCGAGTATTTCAGAACAGAGCTTCTTTACCAAACGGGGCTATCCCAAGACCCAAACAATCCACTTCTCCTCGCCAATTACGCTCAATTTCTCTGCCTCGTGGCCCATGATTACGACAGGTGATAATTCTAAATTCCCTTTTTATCCGTCTGAGAAAATAAATCAAACAAAAACCCGATTCTCATCTCCGTATTGTGGGTTTGTTCATCAACAGAGCGGAGGATTACTTCAAGAAGGCAGTGGAAGTGAAGCCGGCTGATGCAGAGGCGTTCAATAAATACGCGACGTTCTTGTGGAGGGTTAGAAAGGACTTATGGGCGGCGGAACAGACATTTCTTGAAGCCATTTCTGCGGAGTCTGGGAACCCATTTTACGCTGCAAAATATGCCGATTTTCTCTGGAGCAGTGGCGCCGAAGAAACGTGTTTTGAAAATTCTTAAATCCAGAGAATGATAATATCCCAAGTTTCGAAATCCTCGGAGATGGAAAACAAGTTGGGGTCTAATGGCGGGCGGCGAGTGAATTGGGGTCTAATGGCGGCGCCGTGGTTGATCAGAGACGGGATTTTGTTCGGCTGGTGCGGGAATATTTATCCTAATTCCAATGGGCTCTCTTGAAACTGTAAGCTCTTCCTCTATGTGTACATTTTCTTACCCTCTGTGGGCGCCGTTTCAGATGGCAAACTGTAATTATTCTTTTTACAAAATGTCAATTTCTGAATAGGAAAAAGAAGAAAAGAAAAAGGAAAATAATGAGATATGATAATATAAATTTACGTGTTTTTTTCCGGCCTTTCCCCCAAATTCCTTCCGAATGCCCACACCTCTCTTTACCGTTACTTTCCCCAAAATACATTTGGGCCTGTCGGCCCATATTGGCTCCGAAATTGGGCTTTTTGCATTTACAACTTTCCATCCCGACTTTAGTGGCGTAAACTATGGGAATAAATGAAAAATCCCCACATTATCCACTCACTCTTATTATTATACGCCTTCTTCTTCACTAACATGCCCTTCCGCACGTGATAGGCCCATAATTGATCCCATTGGAGTTATATTTTTTTATTGAAGAAAGAATTTCGTGCTTTTTTTAGTCTAAGTTTCTACACCCTTATTTTGAACTAGACGTGTCTCATAATCAGTCTCGTTCGAGACTTTGTGTCTTTGCTGACAACTCATTTATCTCTCAAATTGATGCGGGATCTCACAATTTCGTTCAATTATTATCACAAACTCTCGTTCCAATCTTAGTTGAGTTCAATTATCATCACGGGTATAACTAAATTCACTCAAAATATGTATTGAATATTATTTAACTAAAGAGAAGGCCAAGAGCTTGTACAAATCATGCCTTGGTGTGGCTCTATCTCATGCCATGGGCTAAAGAAGGATTGAGTTTGACCCATAGTAAAACAGTACGGAATTATACCGACAAGTTCATTAAAACAACCAATATTAATAAAATAAAATAAAAACAGTACTCATCAATCGATCAGATTTCGTATACGATCGCGAAGCAGGGGAGCACAGCCCTCGGATTGAAAACCAACAGCTCTTCCTCATCCAACGTGGACTGGGCCCCACTACCACTCCTCCCGACGACGGAGTGAAACCCTTCGCCGTCTTTTTCCGGCTCATCGGCGTCTGACCCGACCCGACCTGCAATGACCCGACAAACCAGAATCGCCCGCTTCACGTTCAGAAACTTGAACTCCTCTTCGATGTCCTCAGGGATCGCCACGTGTGCCCTCCAGCTACTCGATAACGTCGATATTCCGTCCAACTTGTGGGAGAATCCCGATTTGATTATCCCACAAATGCTACAAAATTGCTGCCCGCAGAGGCTGGAATTACCATTTTGCCCCAAATCGCATAAAAACGTCGCACAGTGAAACCTCAGCAACTCGTTTCCGTCGGCGATGCACCGCTCGTCCCGACGCTTCACCGCGCCGTTTCGGGCCGCCGCTTTCGCCTTCACCGACTCTCTGTACTCCTCGAATCTGGAAACGATCTTTGGGCTATTGTGGATTTTCAAGATTCGAACGATTTTCGGACTTTTTTCTTTCCTCGTCCATCCCGTTTCGAAAATGATTCGAACAATATTCTTCCCGGAATCGGAATCGGCGAGTTCCGACACAGCATGTTTCGCCGATTGGTGCTGTTCGAGCAATTGATGCTTGGGGAAAATCTCGCCGCAAGCAGTGCAAGGGAAAATGTCGTTGCTGAGGTGGACAAATTGGTTAGTCTCCGCCGTGGTGATGTCTGAATCCTGCGGCGTTCCGGCTGTCGGAGTCTCAAGCGGGGGAGAAATCTCCTGTGATGTCCGGGCAGGAGTGGGGGGGCGAGCGGTTTCGATTGCCATTTTGCAGGTTTTTGAGGAGAAGATTCGTTTGAGAAATGAATAGGAACTTGTCAGAGCCTTGTGGGGCTTAAGACAGGAGGGCGTCGGAGTGGCTTTCTTGGGGGGCGAGGGACGGCGGCGGCGGCGGTGGTCGGCGGTAGTGAGAAGGAAGCAACCAACATGAACAATAAGCAGTAAAAGAGCGAGGAATTTGTTGCAGAGAGATCCGGCGGTGGGGGCCATGGGTGTTGGGAGAGTGGAAATGGCGGAGCTTCGGTTGGGGATGTTCTATGGCGTCGCCATTGAAGAGGAAATGAAGAACATGAAAAGGAAAAGAGAAGAGAAAGTGAAGGAAAAGGGGAAAACCAATGTCGGAGTGTGGGGGCGACGGACGAATAAAGCTAATAAAGAGTAGTTGTAACGCCTCCTCATGCCTTTCTATACTTCATATTATTGCTTATATTCTCTTTTCTACCCCTTTCACCCCAAATTTTGTAGGTGGAAAATCCGGGGCGAACCAGCTAGATCTGAGTTCGAGTGGCTCCTAACCACAACTTTTCCGCTCATTCTTCAACATCAGTCGGTTCGGGTCCATAAGCAGTGACAATTGCTCCATAACAGGTTCCTATAACCAAGCCACTGCCTGTGAGTCGTCGACTCATTCTTCAACAGGTACATGGTCAAAGTCTTGGTCTCCTCCCACGCCTTGACCTAAAATATGGAACGACTCATTTAACCCTTCGTTATTATAAAATTCACAAACCATTATAAAACGACAGTATTGTTTAGTTAAAGCAACCCTGATTTAGGTTAATCTGTAGTTAAAACATAACAGGTCAATCTCACTGCTAACAGACATTGTCAACGTTGGCATGTTACATATTACCTCTCTCGATTTTATAAGTCCACCGCTAGTAGATATTGTCCATTTTGTTCTGCTATTTATCACCCGTCTCAGTTTTACGATGTTGTCTACTTGGGAGAGGTTTCCACGTCATTATAAAATGTTTTTTTCTAGCTCGGAGGGAGGTGGGATCTCAATTAAAAAGGGAGTTAATTACAGTTTTAAAACTAAATAAATTAAAAAAACACAAAATAAAATGGATAAAAATGGACCGATTTAAAACCATGAGAATCAATTGAGAACTATACTCATAGGGACTAAATGGTAATTTAACACGATAATAATAAATAATTAAAAAGAAAAATACTGGGGAATTTCATTTTAAAATTAATGTCGTTAATTACAACGGTACGTGCCAACGCACGTGCTGGTGGCACATTCTGCGGCTATATCCACTGGAACACTGAATTCAATGACTCATATATTTCATTTACTTATTTTATTTTATTTTTTTACAATAAATAAATAAATAAATATTTATTTTCCGGAATTTGATGAAAATTACTCCGTCAACTGACAGACACAGCACGAGTGTTGTTCCGTCCTCTCCCTTACGGAGAATCCAAAGCCTTTTTGTTTTTATTTTTTATTTTTTATTTTTTTTTATGTAATTATAAATTTAAATTTAATTAATTTATTAAAAAATATAATAATTTACAACATATTCAACAAAAAAATAAAATTTAAAGTTTTTAAAATTAAGTTTTTTTATAATATATATTGAAATTGAAATTTTAATTTTTAATTTAATTTTTGAGAATATATAAATAATTATTTTGTGTTAATATTTTATTGTTATTAAAAAAATATTATATTAAATTAACTCGAGACAAATATTAGTATTTTTTTTAATTAATATTTTAAATTTCGTGCATGTTATTTGTAGTGAATTCGAAATTATTGAATTTAAATTTTCGTCCAATTTCTCGGGTTGATATCGCGAGATATAGAGATGTGTACGGCTTGTTTCATAAAGTAGATGTGGGCTCCGGCCCATAAATGAAATGAAAGTGGGCCATATGCTTTCGGATGTGGGCCTTCGAATCATCTACGCGGCACATTAAAATATTCGAAATAATAATTTAAAATCTTCTGTTTGGATTAAACTATGCCACCTAATATTAAATATTTGTGTCCTCTGATTTTGTAATATATATATATATATATTAAAACTTTTAATTAATTTTTTTAATAAATCAAAACCTAAATTTTAGTAACTAAATATTCAATTTTAAACTATTTTTTAATGGTATTTAAATTAATAACATCAGCAATAAAATAAAGTTGCCGACATAATTTTAGGTTGACCCACCAAACCCAACTCAACATGATGTGTTTAAATATACGGGAGAATCCCTTAATCTTACGTATGAATGCACTCTAACCGCAATTCTCCCAATGATCATATGCCACGTGGCGTTGCGTTCGACGTGCAGTATTGATTTATTATGTTTTAAATTTTCGTCGACCTCGAGTTCGATTTTTCGTTTTTTATTTTCTGCAACGGGTGCATGCCTTTTATTATTATTATTATTATTATTGCCATAATCCTTTTGCTCTTCCTCTCCAACATGAGTGGTTGCTTAAGATTGTGGGTTCAACAAAGTTGACCACGACCAGTTTATTGTGTTTGGCGCGTGTGCTGCACGCGCCACGGCAACCTTTTGTTTCTTTATTTATTAAATAATTTGATGGGCCCATAGAAAATAATTATGGGCCTGAAAATGGGCTATAGATTGCGTTAGTGTCCATTACCCACAGCCCAATAAATTCCGGGCCGTTTTCTTTTCTATTATTGTTGAATTTATAATGCAAATAATGACGTGGAAATTCGAGTAAATCTCAAAGGAAGTCAACCAAAATTGTAAAAGAAAATAAAAGGAAAAAATACATTATATTAATTTAACTATAAATTAAACATATATTTAATATTATTATCGAAATTAAAAAGTTAAGCATGACTTATTTAACGAAATAATATATATACATATATTGAAATTCCCTCTTTGTCGTAATACAATGCGAATTTCAATGGGCCGGCCCAGAGTTAATGACCCAATAGCCGCCTCGGCCCATTATAGAAAGCTAGAGATAATCGACGTGTCGCATCCGTAGCCAAGTGTGGTGCGGATTAATCGTAATCCGTAGCCAAGTGTGGTGAAGGATAAGGCGCCTGTGGTGAGCTTGCGCTTCTGAACATTCCATCGCCGCTTATTTTACCCAAATATCCCTTCACATTTCATTTCAAAATTTCCCCCTCCCTAGAAAACAAAAGGCAAAAAGAAAAATATATATATATGGCTTCTCTTCCGATCGCATTCTCTCCGGCTGCCGGACGCGTGTTCGCAGCCACGGCGGCGAAGGGCGCCGGCGAAAGCAAGAAGGAAAAGGGCCTTCTTGATTGGATCATCGGAAGCTTGGAGAGGGATCAGCTTCTCGAAACCGACCCTGTTCTTCAAAAGGTCGAGGGCAAGGACAGTAACAGCGGCACCGTCAGTGGCGGCCGGAAGAATTCCGTCCAAGTCCCGCCGAAAAAGAACGGCGGGTTCGGTGGTCTCTTTGCCAAGAAAGATTGAAGACGACGGCGGTAGCGGCGGCGATGCCATTTCACTCGTATATAATTTCTTTGTATTGAATACTTATGCAATTTCAGGGCATATCTTGTTGCCACTCTCTGCTGCTTTGATTGGTTATTTTTCAATGCAATCGTTACATTATTAATTATTGTTGGAAATTGTTGATTTATTTATATTATTATATTTCAATCAATCGACATGACAAAGATCTTGCTGCTAATATAATGTCGGGTTCCCTGAGAGAAGTGTGTGAATTATGATGCAATATGAACAAATCCAACAATAAAAGAACCAAAACTATGTCGGTGTGATGACGTGGATTGATTTACTAAAATGTTTATTGAATTATTGAGATTGATATGCCTCTGTTGACTAAATAATAATAACCATAATTGTATTAATTCATCCATCCAACTCTATTCAATAAGCATTTACTCTGAATACTGTTCTTTTCTTCTTTTTAAAAAATAAATAAAGAAAATGGTAAAAATAATGTACTTTATTCATCCATTATATTTATTATATTTATTTTATGTAGAATGTTTTTTTAAAATAATTAGTCTATGTATCAACATGGTTAGAAATTAAGGATCTCCATAATGGTATGATATTATCCACTTTGAGCATAAGCTTTCATGGCTTTGTTTTGGGCAGTATTCCTTTACTTATAAACCCATGATCCACCGACTCTCCAATAATCATCCGCAAACATTTTCTTTATAAATTTTGGGCAAGAATTATTATTATTATTAACTAATTTCGATTAAAAAGGAAGAAAAAAACTTCTTAAGGATAATTTGCAAATAGGGTTTTGTGGAAAAAGAATATAGAGATGAAAGGCTTAATTTTTAATCTAAAGAAGACCAAAGAAACAACATTTCATCATGATCAGCAACGATGAAATCAGGCATTAATTAAACCCACAAAGAGACGGTATATATACTAAGCATTTTGTGGAGAAAATCTTACCAAGAATTGGTGCGAGGAGCTACGAGGAAGAGTTGATGTACTTGATGCAGTCCTCCACAGCCTCTGTTCTATGTGAGTCGACGGCGGACACCGGCAGTGGCTTCGAGGTGGCGACAGGCATGGCCGGAACAGGTTGTTGCTCATGGTGGGGTCTTCTCTTCATGGCCATCAAATGCCAAGCTCGGGTCACTTTATTGGCCAGGTGCTTCAAAAAGCTCAGCGGAGAGAATTGCAGGCCTTTCAGCGACTTAAATCTCAACTTTCTAAACGACCCTGTGCTTCGCCTGGTTGCGTTGCTCGACATGTTCCTTTTCTCAATCCTCTGCTCCATTGTTGCCGTCGTCATAGAATTAGAAGGAAGGTCTGAAGAACACACAGAAAAAAACCAGAGAGATCAAGAAAAGGGACGTACACACTGCTGAAAAGTGCAGGCTGCCCACCAAAGCGTGTTCTTAAGCAAACCCAAGAAGGCTCTGTTGTGTCCTGTGTGCATTAAATCTCTATCAAGCAAGGAACAAAAGTGAGGGTCATTCAATATAATGCCTAACACTGATTTAATCATGAAATGTCAACCGTTAAATGTTTGATCCAACGGCCAAAGATATAATGAACTTTATCTGGATGTCAAGATAAACAGAGAGAACAGAAAAGATAGAAATCAACAGTTTTGACATCAAATAATAAACAAAACCATAAATATAGCAATAATCATGTCGTCCTCTCTACTGCAGTTTAGTGGACTAAATTGATGGCATTTTTAAACTATTGAATATAGCTATAGCAAGGTAGATTGACACAAATATATCACTTTAAATTCAGATTTTTCTTCTTCTTATTTTGTTTATTGGAGAAAAACAATTCTCTCTAACATTTACAAGTTTGGAACAGAAGCAACAGTGGAAAGCGACTTGGAATCACAAAGGAAGCAAAGTCAATATTGAATAAGGGGATGACAGAGCAAAAGGAAATGATGAAAGGCTCTAAAGATTCTTGTTTCAGATAAAGGAAAAAGGGAATTTCTAAAGCTAAAATGGCCATTTAAGAAGAAAGGATTTTGAGCGGACAATTATAGGGAATGCATCCACTAAGGGCGTAAAGCTGTTCTTATTTTAACAAACTTTTGGGAAGCGTTCTTTGGTGGCGATGCATCATGCTTTCTTGTTAAAATATATACTAAAGGGTTTGATCAGACAAAAAGACTGCGTTTGTGTTCGTAGCAATGATGGTAATGGTTAATGTGTGATGATGAGATAATATAAACTTTTACTCGGAACTCACAATAATAGTTGAAGCTAACCTCTGTAACCAAGTGTCACGGCGATGCTTGTCTAAGGTGTGTTGCTCATGACTGCATGCTCGTTACATATCAAAATCTTGCCTTATATCACTTTATTGCTTTCCTAATCTTGCCTTGTGTGTTGCCCATGATGCCTGATACAACTGAAATGCCCCGAAATGTACTATAAGTGGATGCGACTAGTCATCAACTCCTCCCACCTAAACTTTGTATGACCATTTGGCAAAATCGTGTCTAGACCTGTCAGCCTAGAATCACCTCAAAATGTACTATAAGGAAATGTGACTAGTTGTCAAATTCTCCATACCCGAAAAAGTATATGCTATTTAAGCCATTTTATTGCCTTTTGTATGTAGTCATATAATGTTGCTCTCATTCTTTATTTCAACCTTACTTCCAAACTCCCTTTCAAAAATCTCTCTGCCCCCATTTTCTAAAACTATTTTCTCAAAACGGGCTAGAGGTTTAAGCATACATTGCCCTGCCTATGCCCTGCCGTAGGCGACACGATCCCAAATTGACTCACCTACTTAGTGTTGGAGTGCTGCACAATCGTAAAAGTCCACTGCTAAGAAAAGTGCGATTGTAACACCTGACGTTCCATGACCGGTAAAATTGAGTCTTTTTTAATCATAACAAACCATTCTGCTCTGTAAAATACCTGGCACCATTCCATCTGATGGCAGTTTTACCAGCAGCTTAGCAAATTCAGAATCCCTTCAGGGTGCCAACTAAAGATAATCGTCTTCATTTGGCTTTTAGGTGCAAAACTCAGACATGAACAGTTTCTCATTGCTTTTCACTTCAAATCATTTCCCCTCTTTATCAGCAATGTGAAATAATCAAAAACATTAACTCAAGCCAAGTAAATCTCAGAATGCCAAACAAGTTGCAGAAAAAACAGCCAACACAATCCAGCTCTAATTTTTTTTTACATTTGATTCAAGCACAAACACGAGTATCCTATGCAGGAGATTTAGTTCCTGTCATTCATAACAAGCAAAATTTCCCCATTGTCATTGATCACATTATCCAAAAATTGTCTTACCTCGTCAGTATCCTTAAACGTATGAGGAGTATGCAGATCACTGTCCAAATTATACCATGACTCGTTGATCTTTCTCAGAGCAACCCAGTGCCTGCTTTTCCAAATGCCACCAAACCTTCTGACTGGGACGTTAAGCACAATTCCCATAAGTTTATGAGTAGCCTCAGGCCCATCCAAATCGATTGAAGAAGCTCCATTCCGATGATCATGCCACACCACACTCTTCCCTTTCTCTTCCATAGCTGAAATTAGGACATTTATATCATAGTTTCCAGTTACTGAGTTGTGATGAGGCTTAAAGACAAATGATAATGGCGTCCAAGGTTCTCTGTTTGGCTCGTCGAGCACCAGCTTTTCAGAAATTGCATTTAAGTGCGCTCGTGTAAATGCATCATTTTCCTGTTATAATATGGTGTTAATAGAAGATTTAATGGTATGAAGACACCGAAATACATAAGGAATGCAACAAATCGTCAGATAGTGAGACGACAATTCTTTCTTAATGATAAGGAACAGTACAATTCCGTTTATCAGCATCTTAATTACACTGCAAATAATAAATTTCAAGATTCAACGATTATCAATCTCAAGCAATCAGAAAACGTTTGGAAAATTTTCAGAGTCAAAGGTTTGAGATTGAAAAAAAAAAAACCTGAAAGAGGTTATTGAGTGCGTGCAAGAGGCAGAACTGTAGCTTTTGCCTTTCGTGATAAACTCGGCAATCCTCGCTCGCCATCGTCTAAGTCTTAGATCTCAAACTCTGACTCCGAAATCTCGAAAAATCCTTTTTCGGAAGCAGGAAGAACTACGAATCTCTGAATCTAGGTTCAGATTCAGAACTGTGGAATTCGTCGAGTAGACAACAAAAACGGCAAACCTGAACTCGTTACAAATACGATCACGGAATTGTATTTCACCGACGGAGAGAGCATGCGCCGCCACAAACTTCGGGTAGAAGGGCGGCGATGGATTTCGACTTCGAAGAAATCGGCTGGTCTCGGAGTTTCCGAACTCGCTATTCGATTCGGCGGGATCTCTTCTGATTTCCCCCAAATCCCCCAATTATTATATTTATTTAGCAAAATGAATAGTAAAAATATAAAGAAAAAGAAAATAAATTATTTCTTAATTTATATCAATTTACTATAAAATTTGACGCAATTTTTATATTAATAAATAAATAAATAATAGAAGAAATTTATATATACAAAAATTAAAACATGATTTTTATTTATTGATTGAATTGCAACATTATAAGAAATCATTTTAAATATATTAAAAAAAAGGTTAATTGAGAAAAAATTGAACCGATAATAAAATTTTAATTTAATTTAATTAATTATTATTATTTTTAGACGACAATTTTATAGGGAGTGGCACAGATTCCGTGACTACTTGCAGCAATAGATTATATTTAAATAGGAAATTTGTTCACAATATTCCTGAATTAGAGGCGGTCAAAATTTCATTATTTTCTCCCTTCTTATTTTACATTTTATTTTTCTTCGAACCTGTTGTCGACGATTTCCTCTCACACAAAATAAGGATTTCCGAAGCCAATTATTGAAATCCAACACAGTGGATAACGGAAGTAGAACTCAAAGAGCGCCTCAAAGCTCCTCCATTGCACCAACAATGGCGACCTTTCCGACGCCATTGTCGCTCTCTTTCTTTTCTTCATCGATCTTCATTTCCTCCACCAACGACAATTTGAAGCTATTCGGCAATTGGAAACCTAACTCCCGTATACCCCAAACCAAGCCCTTATCGATTTCCTCACAGCTCGCTACTCTTCCAGTCCTCTCTTTCGCCGGAGAAGAAGTCAGCAAGACCTACCTCGGCCTCAAATCCGCTCCACCGGAAACCGCTCGCGCCGTAGTTCACCGAGCTATTATCACCGACCAACAGAACAAGCGCCGTGGGACCGCCTCGACTCTCACCAGAGCTGAGGTTAGTGGAGGCGGTAGGAAACCCTACCAGCAGAAGTAAACCGGTAAGGCCCGTCGCGGTTCGATGCGTACTCCTCTACGACCTGGCGGAGGTGTGATCTTCGGGCCGAAACCTAGAGATTGGTCCGTTAAGATCAACAGAAAGGAGAAGAGATTGGCAATATCGACGGCCGTGGCTGGCGCGGCGGTAAATACGATAGTGGTGGAAGATTTCGGCGATAAGTTCGAGAAGCCGAAAACTAAAGAGTTCATTGCTGCGCTGAAGAGATGGGGAATCGATCCAAAGGAGAAATCACTGTTCTTAATGACGGAGGTTTCTGATAATGTACGATTATCTAGCCGTAACGTCGGAACATTGAAATTGTTGACGCCGAGAACGCTGAATTTGTTCGATATTTTGAATTCCGATAAGTTAGTCTTGACGCCGGCGGCGGTAGATTATCTGAATGAGAGATATGGAAACAATTACGAAGAAGGAATCGCAGACGAGGAAGAAGAAGACGAAGAAGGTAGATTTTCTTACCTTTCTCCAATTCAATTGTTCAATTATAGAAATCAAGAACCTCCATTATCGTTCCATACTTGAGTTTTGCCTAATTCAACATTCAAATCACATTAGAATTATGCTATGAATTCTGGTTCTGGTTCTGCTTCTCTCAACATGGCAAATGCTGGCTTAGGCAATAGTCTGCTTGCTTCCAAATGGGTTCTGCATCATCATTTTGTTGAATCGATTTTCATTCAGATTTCTTGTATTCTCTGTTTTGGTTCATTTCTGTCAGAAATGTTAGAGGAGTAATCAAAATGGAAAGCTTATTCAGGATTGATATTGACAGTCTTCACCCTAAAACCTATGGTTTTCTTAACATTGCTCTTTCTTGCTGCTGCTTCCATTGTTTCACACAGAAACTAATGTTTAGAGTGAGCAATTGTAATTCTTCCATTAATTCCTTCTACTGTTTCACATCAAAATGGAGAAGCTCTTGATGAACTCTCCCTTGGAAGTGTGGCTCGAGAGAAATAGTAGAATTTTTAGGGGTAGGAGAAGTCAATGGAGGATGTGTGGGAGGTGGTGAGGGCAACGTATGCTCAAACCTCTAGCCCAAACCCAAGTCCACCACTAACCGATATTGTCCTCTTTGTGTTTTCCCTTTCGGGCTTCCCTTCAAGGTTCCAAAGAAACGTTAAGGGGAGGCTTTCACACCATGTGGGATCTCACCCTTATAAGCAATGTTTCATTCCCCTCCGACCGATGTGGGATCTCACAATCCACCCCCTTATCTAGCGTCTTCGTTGGCACATCACCCGGTGTCTATCTCTGATACCATTTGTAACAGCCAAACCCCACCTCTTTGGGTTTTTTCTTTCGGTCTTTCCCTCAAGGTTTTTAAACGCGTTTGTTAAGAAAAGGTTTCCACACCCTTATAAAGAATGTTTTGTTCCCCTCTCCATCCATGGTGGGATCTCACATCGTGTCTTTCTTTTTTTGGATTGGAATCCGTTCTTGTATCTTGTTGTGAATTTCTTTTATGGGCTTGCTTTATGTAGAAATCTCAGTTTCTTACTACAAAAACAGAACACACCTACTGAAGTTAATAGGGAGAGAGATTGTAGTTCTTCCATTAACATCTTCTTCACTTTTGAAAACAGGGCTGGAGGAGGTAGGTGAGGATTCGGACGCAGCATAATGAATCTGCCATGTGCAAATCATGAAAGGAGCTTTCAGGGTATGTTAACTTTCAAGCTTTGATCGTATTCTTTTTTTGTTCTTATACACACACAACGGTATCTTCTTGTCCTTTTATCCTCCGATATCCTAAAGTGTTATTAGCTGATGATCTCTTCAACAACAATCTTTTATTCTTTTGGAACTTGCATTCTGTTTAGGCTTCCCTCTACTTTCTTCCTAAGTTAGGAGCTTCCATTAGTATTCTGAGTCTCCTATGGCACTTCCTTTGTCCATAACATATGAAAACGTTCCGAGAGAAAGAGAACGAGTTTGCAGAAGATGATGCTTAAAATGTTTTGAGTTCCTTGAAAGTCTTCCTAGAAACGGCCCCTTGTTTGGGTGTTTTTAGTTCAATGAGTGAGGTTGAGAGATTTGAACTTTTGACATCTTTCGTCCATAATGCAAGTCTAAATCGTTTGAGCTATGATCAGATTGGCTAAAGTTGAAGATGGGGTCTTGCCCGTAAATTTCAAACATGTAGCTCAAAGATTGTCCGACCCTTTATAACTAGGAAAAATGTGGCTTATAATGGAGTCATGCTTAAACTTTTAGATGATAACCTATGTCTTATTAACCGAGATATGCTTGGTTTGAAAAAACCGTCCCAACTATTTGACTATTTCTAGAAAGGTTTGTTTTTCTATATCGCATATTTTAAAATTCTCTTAAGATTGATAACAACCAATAATACACACAAATAATTATAATTATTCCGTGATCAAGTGAATCCATGATTTAAAATAGTTAAAATATAGTCCGGAATAATATAATATATTATCATCGTTCATCATCATTATCAATAGCTTGAATTAGTCCCTGCTATTTTTTTTAGTTATATTCTCTTTAACTACTTTTTCTATCTTGGGTTTTTATTTTCTAATTATTCTATGTAGAAGCTACTTCAATATTTAATCGGAAATCATTTAACTAAGATTTGATTCAATAAATCTTTTATCCATTCATTCGTCAAGTAGACAGGCTGTAACAACCTAAGTCCATTGCTAGTAGATATTGTTTGCTTTGGTCCGTAATGTATCGTTGTCAGCCTCGCGTTTTTATATCGCATCTACTAGGGAAAGGTTTATACACTATTGTAAGGAATACTCAGTAAGTAATGTTTCATCTCTCTCTCCAACCAATGTAAAATTTCACAATCCATCTCCCTGGAGTCCACCGTCCTTGCTAGCACACCACTCAATGTTTGGCTTTAATACCATTTATAACAACTCAAGCTCACCACTAGCAGATATTGTCCACTTTGGCTCATTACGTATCGTCATTAACTTCACGATTATAAAACGCGTCTATTAGGGAGAGATTTTCATGTCCTTATAAGAAAATGTTTCGTTTTCCTTTCCAACCAATGTGGGATCATTGGAATAAGTGGTGACTATTCAAATAATTGAAGAACGAAAACGAGCATCCCTTTTTTCTCCCCCGACCAAAAATTCTAAATAGATTTTTGTAATAGAAAGAATCAGAATATTTAATGACCGAAAGCTTGAAGTAGTGATTATGTGTTTGTGGTAGCTACTAAGCTAAGGCTATGACCCCTTCAAAGGAATAAAGTTAAAGAGGCAATGTTCTTCTAAGCAAGCAAGTTGCATAAAGGGGAAAAAAAGGTAAAAAAAAAAAAAAGGTTTAAAAAAATGGTGGTTAGTTTTTGTCACTTGCTCTTCAAAAGCTTCTTGCCTTGTAGTTCTTTACATAAGTGGTGGGGGATGAATATACCATTTTGCAACTCACATTGCCCCTTCCCATCATCATTCCCTACTCCCTACCGATCATATTCTTTTAAACCCTAACGTTTTTAGTTCAACAATTGCAGCGTCCAGGACCTATCGAGTTTTAGGTTGATAGTTGATGTTTTTATCTACGTGAGTTGTGTTCGTATTTGTGCGGTATGAAGATTTTTGTTCATTAGCATTGTTAGTTTACTGTATCACCTGAATAGACTCTCGTTTGTATTTTGTGTATGTTCAGTAGGTTAAGTGTCGAAATTTGGATTTAGGGTTTTCGTGAAATGTTCATGGGAAGTTGGATAACTTTGTCTCTATGAATAGTTTCAGAACCTAACCTTAACTCTGCCCCGAAGGTTTTTTATTATAGCTTGTCGGTTCTTTGTCGATGCTATTTGGGACAAACACTAGCAATATCTCGTTGTAGATTGTTTTGCTAACTCCCGTCGCAAATGACTTAAACATGTATTTATGCTCACTCCTGTATTTGATGTTTACTCACCCTACAAGTGTAGCTCGAGTAACTTCATATCACTAAAAGATTAAAATTTATTTTATATTATTATTAAAGGCATGGTATTTTGATCCGATAAAATTATTCTCTAGTTAGATACAATCTAAATAAAATAACAACACGATTCTCTTGAAGATGAAGTTTGATACGAGTGTGTTGGGCCACTTGAGTTGTGTGGAGCAAGGAAAGACCTATGATATGAAAAAGGTTTTGTATCAAAATCTAAACTAATAAAAAGAATGATTAAAATAATTTAAAGGGTAATCAAATCTGAATCTTAAGTTGGGAAGGAGATTAGGAGTTATCTAATCACACTTAGAACGGATCTTCCCGTTCATAAGAGGATCTATATTCCAAAAAGATCTCGTTACAATAAAATAAATAGAGTTTGAAGCATACGATGCTCGAGTAGTGGATTCATAATCAGCTTTAGCTCTCATGAGCTCCCAGAGAGAGAAAGAGAAAGAGAGGATTCAATGGGATACCAAATTCATATCAAAGCTTGAAATTCACAAAAAGAATTGTTCAAAAAACTCAACAATTGACATAGAAACTGACAGATGAGTATCAATAATGCTTCAGAGATGCATAGCAAGAACAACAGGCTTAATAGTAACTAGACAATGACTGATATAAGCATACAATGAGTATTGTCTGAAACAAAGGCTCTTTGCTGAACTTTCTCCGGTTTCAGTGTTTCGTTTGGCTTAGCGCTGAAGAAGAAGACGGGTTTTTTATGCTGAACCGAGCCGTGTCGAAGTCCCGATAGTGAATGTCGAGTCGAATTATCGACAAGAATCTTCCTTGGACAGCATTTTTCATTGGAGTAAGCAAAGCACATTGCCCATCTCTAAATGCCTTGTCCTTCCAACACAGAATCAGCAAGTTGCAGAGAAGCTCCTTTTATGGACACCCAAAAGAAAACCAGAAGGAAAATGAATTTAATCCTGTCCTCTTCAAAGATATGGAGTTGTATTAAAGTATATGACAAGAAATTAAGATTACAAACTATATTATGAATGTGAAAGATCATAGAGGACAATGGCGTCGGCGTCGGTGTTGGCGTTGGCATTTCGAAAAGAAGAAAAAAGCTCGATTTAACTATCCATGGGGAAAGCAATGGCCAGCCTGCATCTGAAAAATCATGTTTTGGGGTCCAATGAAGGGTTCATTGACAGCACCTTTTTGTAGATTGTGATCGGGCAGACGAACCCCGACGTAGGAGTTGACGCCAAAAGCGCCTGGAGACATGAAAACATTCCCATGGGAGTGGTTGAAAACCATGGCTGCTCCACCGGCGTTGTGTTGTTGTTGTTGGTGGTGGTTCCAATTGAAGGGATTCCGAGGCACGGTGGAGGATGGATTTGAGTGGCGTGAGAGCACGCCTGCGTGATCCGGTGATAGTGACTTCTTGTTTTCAGGTGATGGGCTTCTTGTGTCGTTGAGATTGACGGTGGTTATATCGTGGATGCTCGCTCTCCGTTTATCTTTTCCGCCGGAGAGCTGCCTGATGAAGTACTTTTGAGCATGACTAGCTACTTGAGTTGGCGTTCTAGTTACCACAAAATTTCTCGAGATGTTCCTCCAATCCCCTTTTCCATACTTCTTCAACCCCATCAAAAATAGCCTGCAAATTCGTTTACCAATTCCAAATTCAAACTACAAAAGACACCTCAAAATGATTTCAACAGAAACAATGAGTGAAATTCAACACTTACTTGTGTTCTTCCTCCGTCCATGGAACTCCCTTCTTCCTCTCCTGATCGGCCGACCGCCCCGACGATCTTTTCCCGATGAGGCCATACGATTGCTTGAATCCATCATAGCTATGGCTGCTAACCCAATCCAATGTAAATTGAGAAGTATCATAACCAGGAATTGGGATCAAGCCAGCTTCAATACTACTAACATCAGCTTCCAATTCCTTATACTGCCGGATCACATCCCCAACCGTCTTTCCAGGTATCATCGCCGCAACCTTCTGCCACCGATCAGGCGTATCGGTGTCGAAGATAGCCAGGGCATTCTCGAACAATTTGTTCTCAGCAACAGTCCATCTCGAGCTCAATCCATCACCAGAGCTCCAACTCATGGAGGAAACAGGAGGGGACAGAATTTCCATTTCCCACTTCATGAATCTCTCTCTCAATTAGAGGATACAATTCAAAGAGATTCAAACAAGTTCTTCATAACTTGGGGGAAGAGATTTAGAATTGTTAAATAGAGAAGAAACAGGAAGAACACAGAGAGAAAATGCAGCAAATAGGGCGAAACGATGGCGGATATTTCGCAATAGGAATTCGACAATAAGGGCGTTAAATCAACAAGCATTTGAACGGAATCAGAATACTTTTTTTTCTGTGAAAACGTACTCTGAGGAATCTACACTTTCCAAACCAATTGAAAAAAGTCACTGCCGCTTTCCAAATCAAACCAAATCAACAAAAACAATATCAATCAGTATTGCTCTAACTTCAATCGATTAAACCCTAACACTAACCAGCACTTCAGTCCAAACAGAATCCGACGAACAAATTTTCCAGGAAAATCACCGAGAAAGCGGCTAAAATTTCCGGGAAAATGGAAGAAGGAATCAAAAAGAAAGCCGAAAAAAGGAGAATCGAAGTGGAAGAAGACTGACCGAACCGACCTCAAAGCTTCAGAAAGAACGGATTGGAATTGCTTTATTGTTCTTCCTGTTTTTGGTTGAAACAGAGCGAAGAACGAGAGGAAGAGGAAAAGCAGAAGCAGTAGAGAGCGAGAGAGATTCAAGGAATGAATCTAAGCGAAAGAAGAAAAAGGGAGAAACAACGAAACAGAGCAAGGAAGAAGAGAAGAAAGCTTGAAGGAAGGTGTTAAGATATGATTGGTGGATTTGGTTGCCACGTGGATTTTCCAACTTAATGAAAAAAAAAATTAAAACTTTCCCTCTTTTTAATTATAAATTTTAATTTTATATTTATTTCTCTATTTTCTAAATTTATTAAATAAAATAATCAATGTGTGTGCTCTTAGCAAGGAAGGCCCACATGTTCTTTGTTAGGACATGAGCCTCACAAATCTTAATTTTACTCCACTTTTAAATTTATAAATTAAAACTATTTAAATAATTTTAATTTATCTAAAAATTTATAAATACCCTTAAAATTTGTTATCGATTTTTAAAATTACAATATTACCCCTAACATTTCTTGAACGTTTTAAAATTATATTTAAAGTACAATAATGTAAATTGTAACTTATAATGATGTGTCACTGATCTAACAGGAAAATATGGATTGTTACAGCGTTATAGGTTACTGTCACATTGTTTTAGGTACTAATTTTCATATATTATTTAGACGAATTTTTACTATAAAAATGGTTATTAAAACGTTTATAAAATGCAAAGGGTAATATTGTAATTTTAAAAATAGTTAGAGAATATTGTTTATAATTTAAGCTTTTATTTTCAATTTTACATTTATTTTAAAATAATAAATAAATATCTTTAAATAATTTTATAAAATCATTTAAAATATTATTTATTATTTATTGGCTTTTAGAAAATTAACCTTTTCCTCTCTTCGTAGAAGTGACAACAGATTCAAAACAACGGCTCTGATTGATATCATGCAAGTTGATAGAGTGGGGACCACTTGTGGGAAATGGACCAGGCTTCTCTCATTGGGCAGTCTTTCACATAATTGTGACTACTTAAGGGTCACGATCTCGAGAATCTACTCATCAACGGCTCTCGATGATACACATGTCGTTGTCTCACTGGCCGAATGGGGAAGAACACAATGAAGTCGAAGACAAATGGTCCAGGTAGATAATGGTCACCACCAATGAGTGTGTCCCACGTATGCACATGAACTCCCAATTATGTCCGTGTTTGCATTGGATCAAATAAGCTCACATAATTGAAGCGTGGACCAGCCAATCCCCTCCGTGTCGACCGTCCGCTTTACGGTGGTGGTCGGGCTCGAAATTGATCTAGCCGCCAAATATTAATCTGAGTATAGTTTAGTAAATAAAGTACTTGATATCTATTGAAGTGAGTTATAATCACCGGCTTTAAATTACTCGAACTAATAAAATAACTAGATTATTCGAATTGCGAGGTGATGTACTAACAAAAATGTGAGATCCACAATCCACATGATGTGTTTTAAAACTGTGGAGTTGTCGACTATACAGCTAGTGGTGAATTTGGGCTATTACAAATAATATCGAAACCAGACAACGGGTAGTGTGCTAGTGAGTACGCAATGCTCTCAAAAGGGTAGATTACGAAATCTCATATCAGTTGAAGAGAATAATGAAACATTTATTATAAAAAAAAGTAAAAATTTATCTATACTGAACTCATTTTAAAATTGTAAGACTGAGGATAATATGGATAATTGTCCTTTTAATAATTGTTTTTTTTTTACTGTGAAAATAACGTAGAAGGGAAGTGTGACGGCGCGTGGGGAGGACAAGGCCCATTCCGTGTCGTGTATGCAAGCGAGGGCCAAAGTGGTCCCCTTGTGATGTGAACCACGGTCGTTTTTCTCTCTCATTTCCCCACTTTATTGAAAAAGGGTAATTATTCTACCCTTATTTTCAATTTTAATGCAAAATATATATATAATATATATATCTGTTTTTTTACACATATATGGGAGATATTGGTGGTTAAATTACAAAAAAGTAAAAATAAAATAAAATAAATATGGTATGGGTGGGTCGGAAAGTGGAGTCGCAATCCAACATTTCTGATACTAAGTTAGAAGAACACGACTTCTCACAATGGTACGATATTGTTCATTTTGATTCTAAGCTCTTATGAATTTGCTTTGAGCTCCCCCAAAATACCTATTGTCAATGAGGAGAGTATTCATTGATTATAAACCTACGATCATTTCCTAAATTAGCCGATGTGGGACTTTCATCCAACAAATACAACCAAACAATACGCACGACGATAGGTCGAGAATAGATATAATTAAAATATTATTATCGTAATAAAAAAAACATATTATATGATATAATTATTATTTTAATTGCATAGCTTCTCTTATAGTACATCACTTTCTATTGAATTTTTGTAATAATTTAAAGCTAGATCTAGATAAATAAATTATTATTATTATTATTGCATTAAATAGACTATTATTTAATTATAGACTTAGGAATTGCTTTATGAGGGGATGGAATTAATTAGTACAACATGAAAGTGCAGCCAAAATTATACATAAAAAGGCACTAATTTGGTAATTAATTTAATTAATTTTACATTAATTTACTTCTCTCGTACTTTGCAAATGATTGGTCCCCTCTTATTCGAATTTGTTTCACAATTTGGACTCAACGTTTCAACTTTAATGCGGTCTTTATTTATAATTATTAAATTAAAAAATTTCTGACTTTTATATATTAATATATTTGTTATGTCGGTTGGGTTGAAACTATATGCACATTTTTAAATGCTTAATTAAATATTGTACTTATTTTATTTCTGCTTTTCTGTCCAAAAAATAATATTTTATTTAACGGCTTTTCAGTAATATTTTTTAAAAATCAAATTTTTGTTTTTGTTTTTATAATTAATTTTGAAAAATAAGTAAGCAAATAAGTTCATAAAGAGCTATGTTTTTTTAATTTTTTTTTTATATTTATCGTCTCATCATTTTCTTTATTGTGAATAATTAAGCCTATATTATTCATTTATTAAAAAATATATATATATATTAAAAATACTTAATATTATCCATTTGAACTCATTACATATCGTTGTCAGCCTCACGATTTAAAAACGTGTATACTAAAGAGAGGGTCTAGCCTACTTCGACCAGTGCCTCGCATCGTCCGGTAACTGGTTCTAATACCATTTATAATAGTCCAAACCCACCGCTAGTAGATATTGTCCACTTTGGTCCATTACATATCACTGTCAGTCCCACAGTTTTAAAAACGTGTGTGCTAGAAAAAAGTTTATAAACCCTTATAAAGAATTATTCGTTTCTCTTTCCAACTGAGGTGGCGTCAACCTCACAGTTTTTTAACGCGCCTTTTATAGAGAGGGTCTAGCCCTATTCCGACCAATGTCTCGCAGCGTCTGGTGACTGACTCTGATACTATTTGTAACAGTTCAAGTCAATCGCTAGAAAATATTATTTTGCTTTTGTATATTACATATCACCGTCAATCTCACCGTTTTAAAATGTGTAGGCTAGAAAAAAGGTTTCTAAACCCTTATAAAGAATTATTTGTTTCTCTCTCCAACTTGGGTGGCGTCGGCCTCCCAGTTTTTTAACGCGTCTTTTATAGAGAGGGTCTAGCCCTATTCCGACCAGTGTCTTGTAGCGTCTGGTGACTAACTCTAATATCATTTGTAACAATTCAAGCCCACCGCTAGTAGATATTATCTGCTTTGCTTCTCAACTATTGCAGCCTTGTAGTTTTAAAATGTTTAAATTAATTAACCTAAATTTTAAATATTTTAATGGACGTAATTATTAATTTTCATAAATTTTAAGCGTAATAAATTGATTTTTTTAAATGATTTAAAAAATGGGTCGGATAATTGAGGGAAACGGGGCCCGAAACAGATAGCGTTTGTGCTGTCGGCTGCAAGAAGTCATTGTATTGGTTGACTGGGAAACCCGACGGGAAGGGGTGCAAAAAGGCAACGCCTTCATCATTTATCACTTTCTTCTTTTTAATTGGAATTTCGAATCTCCCACCTAATTCAATTCCCCTTCCCTCTTGCCTACGTGTCCAAAGTGCCACCGTGTCCATTTCAACTCCAAAAAAATATTATAAAAAAATTAAAAATTGTGTGACCCATACAATAATATATTGCATCCTTTAGTGATATCCATCGTTTATATAGAGACCCATTTAAAATGGGATAAATAAATCTCCGTTCAAATAAAAAATGACGACAATTTTTTTTCTTATTAGCTAAACAGGATCGAATACGGATTTATTTCTCATTTATGTCCCCGTACTCGCCCCTTGCCAAAAAAATAAAAAATAATGATAATAAAAAATAAAAAATAATATATATATATATAATTCAACCCACAATTTTTGTTTTTTGTTGTTTATTAGCCTTTAAAATTTTAAAAAATTTTAAACTCGTAATTTTTTAATTTTTAATTTTATATTCAATAAATTTTTGACAAATTAGAACTTTTTAAAAATAATATATTACATTAAAAGTTGGGATATTAAATTTGTAATTTAATTATATAATTTAAATAAATAGCATTACTCCGCATCCTTAAACAACCCTAAAACAACCCTAAAGTTGGAGATAGATTTTGGATAATGTTATTTTTGTGAAAGGTAAAAGGTAAAAGTGAAATTATAAGAAGATTAAAGTGAAAAGTGAAAGTAAAAACGGGTTTGGATTATGTTAATAAAATATAATGTAAAAGTTATTGGCTGAGTGGAATTGCTTTCAATGAAATTTCGAATTTCATGAGTTTGATTACCGAATTGGGTTCCCAAGTGCTTTTAATGTTACCGTCAAAAGTAAAATATTAAATAATAATAATAACAATAATAACTAATTATATGAGTTATTTATTTAATTTCATTTTTGTTGAAAATGTGGAAGGATAATTAAAATTAATAAATTAAAAAAAAAAAAAAAGCTTGAAACTGAAGCATATAATATTTGAATAAAATACAAAAAATTACAGGTAATATTTGATTGACAATAATCTGTTGGGAATCATCTTCATAAAATGGGCTTTGGTTTGTCTGTTCTTTTTCTATTGCATGCGCACACGCTCTAGGGAACATAAGCCATTTTTTTAATAATATATATATATT